AGCTCCGCACCACGCGGGTACGACGGCAGCGACAGAAGCCTGCCACTGACGCTGTTGCCGCGCACCGACAGCCACGACCCGGAAACAAACGACGCCGACCCCCGCAGCTCCAGCAGCGCGCCATCGGTCAGCGCACCGGCGTTGTCGTTCACTACGACGGCGGACGCGTTGGCCTCCACTCCGCTGTCAAACACCAATCCATGCGCGGCGTACACCTGGCTCCCCGACACGCGCAGCACAGCGCCCCCCGACGCAACCACGCGCGCACTCGCGTACAACGCATAGTCGCCACCAAACACAGCCGCATCCAACGCGACACCGCCACCGACAAGCTCCAGCACCGCGCCGTCCACCACCACCGTCCGCCCACCAGTCATCACGGTCACGAGGGCCACGCCGTACACAACCAGCACGGACCGCACAAGCCGCAGGCCCGACAGCACCAGCACCGGTGCGTACGGCGAGGACCGCGAGCCGGGAAGATACACAAGCGGCGTCGGCCTCGCGGCAACCAGCAGGGAGTCCGCCACCGTCAGCACGGACCCCGCAGGGAACGTGCCGGTCAGCACAAGCGCACCGTTCAGCGCCTCCACATCGCACACCGACAGCTCCACCGGCCCGCTCTCGCCGCTCCCCGCCGCACCGCGCAACGCTCCACCGCCCATCACGTACAGCACGGCACCGTTCAGCAGCGACACGTTCTGCACAACGATCCGCACGCCGTCCCGCGCCATCCACGGCACGTAGAGCACCGGACTCACGCCGTCCAGCACAACGTGGCGCAGCGTCACCTCGCTCGCGCCGGCAGGCACAACGAACACCGACCGCAGCGTCACGCCCTCGCGGACGAACACACTCAGCACAGTGCCCATGGCAGGCGGCAGCGCGGGAGCTCCCACAGGCACGCACGCCTCGCCGTACCCGCCGCTGCCGCACGCGCACATGCACACACCGTTCCTCATGCTCGCAGACACCGTCCCGGGCGCGTAGCAGTAAGTGTCCCTGTCGCAGTCGTCGCACCCAACAACGTCGATGCTCCCAACGTCGCCAAAACCAGCCGCTGCGTACTCCTCCGCCGTCGACAGGACACGCCCACCAGCGTCGTTGCACGCCACCCTCAAATGCGCCCCAGCCGCAAGCGACAGGCTCACCGACAGCATCCGCGGCAGCAGCGCTCGGTTGCGCACAAAGCTCAGCGTGCTCCCAGCAGCGGTCACGGCGCCAGCGGCGTAGAGCATCTCCCTCGAGACGCCGTCGTGCACGTTGCCCTTCGCCAGCAGCATCGACCCGTCGGCCAGACTCACCGTCGAATAAAACGCCACCGCGTAGTCCTCCGTCGACACAAAGTCGCTCCGCACAAGCGCCACAGCGGAGCCCGACACGCTCACAGCCCCACGCACAGACACCGCGTGCTTGCACAGCAGAAAGTCGCTGTCAACAAACGCCACCACGGAGCCGCCACTGGCCGCAACACCGCCCTCCACCGACACGCACAGCCCCAGCGCCGTCTGCACCGACAGCCTTTCCACGTACAGCGCACCGCACGACGACAGCGCCACGCCGCCAACAACCAACACACCAACAGCGTCGCGGAACACAGCCGCCACCTGCGTGCGCGCTATGGTCAGCACACTCCCAGTCAGATTCACGTTGTGCAACACGAGGCACGCGGAGGCGTCGCCAAGGTCGTAGGCGCCGCGGTACACAACACGCGCCTCTGCAATCAGCACCGAGTCCACCACAATGACGCGCGAGCCCGGCGGAAATCGGTTCGCCAACACCACGCCGCCGCCAGAGCGTGACTCAAGCCCGCTGATCAACACATCGGCGCGCTGGCCAGCAGGCGGGTCGGACCGCCACCCAACAACGTACAGGCTCGCTCCGCCCACAAACGTGCAGTTTGCCAGCGTCACGTTGCGCACGCTCCCTGACATCGACTCCACGTCCACCACGACGTCCGCCGCAAAGGTCGCACCAACGTAGCACACCACCGACGTCCCGAAACTGACGTTCACCTCCACATTCACACGCACGTCGCGCACGCAAAGGTCGGCGCCGTCGGTGCTCGGTGGCTCGGGGACAGCGACGGGCAGGCACGCATCGCCGTGGCCTCCCTCCGCGCACCTGCAGGCGCAGCCATCACTCGAGGCCGTCGTCGTGTACGCAGGGAAGCACGACGTCGCAATAGTGCATGGATCGCTGCAGGTCAGAATGGTGGCATTGTACACGGACGGAATAATGTAGTTCGCTTCCTCAACGCCGTTCACAGTGTTGCACGCGGCCACAATCGCTCCGTTTGTAAGATCGGTTGACCCTGAGAATATCCGCAGCACTTTCGGCGTGCCCGTGCTGGACATGAATTGGTTGCCGGACACAGTCACCGTGGAATCGCGGAGACTCACCGTGGGGTTAAAAAAAGCAAACGCATCCGATGGGGACACGCGGCAGAGGTTGTCGCTCAACTGCAGCCAAGAGTCGTAGTAGATGTAGGTAGAAAAAGCTGAATAAAACACAACCGAGCTTCCCTGCATGTCGTTGCCCTGAAACACAACTGCCGACAGAGACTCCACACGTAATGCCAAAATTAGTAATAAAATGTACCTCACCGACCTCGAAACAAGATTGCCTCGGATCACCACGGCAGAGTTGTTCAGCACCTTCAGCGATGAGGATTGGCCAGACCCTTCAAGATATATCAGCGTACCGTCACCGCCAGCCATATGAAACGTGTTGCCTACCACCGCAAAAAGGGAGCGCCACGACACCCTCAGAGAAGATTCAACGACGTAAATGGCGTTTGACGACGCCGTCACGGTCTGAAACACATTGCCGCTCAGAACCACCGCGGAGTCATTGCTGATCGCCAGCTCATTCATCGCAACACACGACGACTTCCTAAGGCCCAATCCCGACCGAGGGATCAGCCTCGTGACCGAAAAGCGGTTCCCGCTGATCGTGATGTTCGTGCGCGGTGGAAACACACCCTCCGGACTGAGCAGCGCGTCACGAAACGTGTTGCCGGTGACGACAATGTTCAACGACCCCACAGCGGCATAAGCGTTGCCCAACAGCAACAGCACAGCGCCGTCCCTCCACGTGCATCCATCGAACATGACATTCACCACGTCGCCCGTCATCGCCCCAATCAGCACCGTCAGGCTCATGCCGCCCCCGCTGAACGTCACGTTGCGGTAGCACAGCCACGACAGCCCGCCACCCACAGACTGTGCAACCTCGGGGTACACCATGTCGCCGATGCACTCACCAACAGACGGTGGTGGCAGCGTGGGCCGCAGTGGCGGCGGTGGCGGGCCAACAGGCACAGGCGCCGGGACGCACACATCGCCGTGCCCTCCAGCAGCGCACTGGCAATTGCAGTCAATGACCGCCGTCGTCAGCGGGGCAAAGCAGTCGCCGTCCTTCGTGCACTCCCCGCACCCTGCAACCGTCGTCACGTTATTGATGCCATGGAGCTCCAATTCAGCCGCCGTCGTCACCTCCCGTCCCGCGACCGTCAGGCACCCAGCAACAAACCGGTAGCCGGCGTCAGACTGCGATAGCAGAGACTCCGAAAACCCCGTCGAGCCCATCTTGCAGCCCGTCAGCGTCACCACACTGCTGCCGTCAATGCTCACAAAAGCGGACTCAGTGTCGTAGAACATCGCACCCACTCCCACGTCGTTGTCACGCCAATCCAACCAGCTTGACCGCTGGACGGTCCACGAGTTTAGTGAATAGATGGCGCAGGAAACAGAACCGCTGTTCCCCACCACGCGCAACACGCTGTGATCCGACACGCTGAAGCCACGGTACTGATACAGGAGGCTTTTCCCGGAGGTCATTCTATTGCCGAGCAGCGCAAAAACAGAGTGGTCACCGACACTGAGGATGTCCAAGTAAAACAAGTGTGTGTACCCATCGAAGCTGCAGTACCGCACATACAGCGAGCTGCCACCCACCAGCGTCAGCGTCCCGATCGAGTACAAACCAAACGCATCATACCTCGATGCATGCGCATTTACGTTGCTGACCAACAGCGAGGACGCAGTCAACAAAACTTCGTGCAGCATCACAACGCTCAGCTTGTTGTTCACTGTGTCCGGCAAATGGACCGCGGAGGACTGCACCGCGTCAACGTCCGTGACGGCAATGTCGCAGTACTGCGGGAGGGCAAGTGCAAACACAACAACAGAGGACCACATCACCGTCTGGCTCACGCGGATCAGGACGCCGGATGACTCGGCGGCCTCAACATCTCCAACAAACTGCAGCACAGCCCCGTAAAGGAACGTGCACCCAGTGAGCGTGATGTTGATGGGGAGATGCAGCGGCATACTGTTGAAGGAAAATGTCAGCACAGCACCCACGCCGCTGAATGTCACACCCACGTAGCAGTGTTGCGTCTCCCACATGTTCAGCGTGAGGCTCGACAGCGTCTGGTTCACCACGCAGCTCGTGTCGCCGTCGACGGCTCTCTCCGCCACGGGCGGCACAACCGCGTCGGGCATCTCGAAGGGAAGACACGACGCGCCATGCCATCCGTCCTTGCAGCTGCACGAGCACGAGCCGCGGTCCACCGACTCCGTCCCGGGCATGTAGCACGCCGCGTCATCGTTGCATGTGCCGCATCTGAACAGCTCCACGCCCTCCGGAAACACACCTTCGTACGACACCTCCTCATCGCCCTGCAGGTTGCACCCCACCAAAAACCGCGCGGGTAACTTCACAATCGTGCTCCATGGAAGAATTTTCGCAAAATCTTTACTCGACTCCGCCTGACGGTTGTGTGCAAACACCACGGTGGTGCCGTTGTCTGACAGCTGAATTTTGTGCCAGGAATACAAAATAGTTAATAACGAATCTGTGCTCAAGCTGTTGCCCTCCACACGCCAGTGCGCACCACCCTCGAGAGTCACCGAACCGTCTAAATACAACAGCGTGAAATCAAAAAACTCCGTCCTGCCAACAAATGTGCAGTCCGCCACTCGCAACAGCCCTGCGGAGCTCACGGTGGTAACTCCAGAAAGATAAACGCCATTGACCGCGTTCATCGTGTTTTTCTCCACGTCAATGTAGCCGCCGTTCTTCACATCAACAACGTCAAAATAAATAGCAGTCTCAGAACTGTCAACCCCACCCGTTACCCTCAGCGTATTTCCCTTCACAATGATCCCGCCACCATCAACAACAACAGCATCAATAAAATATACTGCGTAACCATTTCCCTCGATGCGGTTGTCAATTAGCAGCAGGGTCGAGTTCGCACCAAAAGTAAACCCAAAAAAGGAAATGACATGGCTCGACTTCGTCACAAGCGTACTACCCGCCACCAGTATCTGGGAGCTCGCACCAAAATCACCCTCAAACTCCAATGCACCAGAATCCAGCATCGAGGATGTCACGTTCACGTGCACGCGTGCACCACTCCCCCCGATCGACAGGCCCATGAGGACGCACTGCAGCAGCGTGATGTTGAGTGTCTGTTGTGGTGCGTCGAAGCTCCACAGGTCCAGCACGATCGCAGCGGTGAAGGTCACATTGACGAAGCACAGACCACGCACACCGGGATCAGGATAGTCCACAAAGCTGATGCTGCCACCGTGCACGCAGCGGACCTCCGTGTCCTTCGCGTCGGGGAGCGGGAGCGGCCCAAGGCCGTCCGGAACAGCAGCTGGCAGACAAGTGTCACCGTAGCCGCCAGCAGCGCACTCACACTCACAGCCGCTGATGCTGCTCGTCCTCGCAGCGAAGCACACAGCGTCCACGGTGCACGCGCCACAGTCCAGTGCCGTCACGGGTGCTCCAATATTGAGGTTGTCTCGGTAATCCGTCACAGGAGAGCCCATTACCTCGTTGCACACGCCGTAGATGATCGGGCGCGTGTCGGATGGTGGTGGCCAGTTGCTTGTCATATG